CTCAGGCTGGTCTCGAACTCCTGAGCTCAAACAATCCACCCGCCTCGGCCTCCCAGAGTGCTAGGATTACAGGCGTGAGCCACCGCGCCCGGCCAACAATTACTTTTAAAATAAGAAAAAGACAACATGTTGGAAAACACATTGGAAAAAATGGGCAAAGTGTATGAACAGGTGTTTCGTAACAATCAGGGAACTACAAACTAAAACGCAATGCCATGTCACACTATCTGCTCTCTGCCGTCACCGTTCTCAACACTGTCACCACCTCCTCCACCGTTTGTCTCTGGCACTCTGGCCCAAAGCCATCTCAAACCCCTTCTCAGAGGGACCTGCTCCCATGGGGCAGGGATGCATCAGCAAAACCCTACTAATGGGGGGCGGAACCCCCCACACCCCAAATTTCCTTTGCAGACCTCTGAACTTCCCCAGTATTAGAAGACTATATAACATTCCAATCTGAAATATTTGGATTATCTCACCAGTTTTCCTTATTGGCAGTAACTAAAGGGCCATTCAGGTAGCCTTCCAGAAACAAAGTTGTCCTATGTGACTTACTGCCTGTGCTAGCAACTTTCCAATGCAGTTTTCTAGCCCAGAGGGAAAACTTACTGGGCACTCTACTCATATACATGTAATATTTTTTACTCTAATGACATGAGGTTTATGTACTACTATCATTTTTTTCTTTCACTTATTTTTTAGGAAGACGATCAAATGCTTCGACCATTTATACACCAACAGTCACAGATGTTTAAGGATTTTGGGGACCTACTTGAATCCAGCTTGTGGAAACTGAAAAATGATGTTGCTCTTATAGTAAAAAAGAAGAGAGAATATTTACTGCATGTCAAATAGGGAGGACACACCAACTGAAGACTGAAAACATTTAGCTTTGAGTTGTGAAGATTATTTGTGTAGCTAATGGGCTTAACCTGTTCTACCATTTATAAGCAAAACTCTCCTTCAATTTGATTTTAAATCACGTAAGAATGAATCCACATCCAGGGTGAAGGTAAGGTGGGAGAAGTGAATGGCTAGCACTCTGAGCTCTGGAATCAGACTGTCTAGGGTGTATTCTGGGTAAATCCATCACTTATCAATTGTGTGATTTGGGGCAACTGACTTCCCCTAAGCTGCTCTTTCCTCATTTGTTATCTGGGAATGATAACAGTATTTGCCGATGGCTAATGAATATAAAGCACTTAGAACAGTGCCTGGTACACAGAATTGATCGATAAGCATTTGCCATTAATGTTTTTATGGTAAACAGTTCAAAATTTCAAATGAAGCTCTTTTGATAAATTTATTGCTGTCAGACCTCAAGACGATGGGTACTTCATGCCCCTCCTTTTGTATTCTTGCTCTGAACAAGTCTGAATTCTCCCTCTACTTATTTTCTCTTTTCATAGGTTTATTTGAAAGACTGTATGTTCAATTTGCTGAGCAGCATTAGTGCCTGTCCTATGGGATTTTTTGCAGTGCAGGGTCTTGGGTGCAGGGATTACAACTGTTAGTGAGATATGCCAGGAGTTAGTCTATTTTGAAGCCAATCTTGATTCCACAAATTGACTAATGGGTCTTAGTTAAGGACTGACAGATACTGAGTGCTCTGGGAGGGGCTGTAAAGAAACTTTTTGTGGCTAAAGAGAGACTTCTAATAAGAACAGCAGTGATAATGGCACCACGTGCCAGGTACTAATCTAAATATAAACAGTTTAGCTCATTTCTCACAACAACTCTATGAGTATGGCCCATTATTTCCCCCATTTTGAGGCTTTAAAGGTTGAATGACTTGCCCAGGCCACTGTAAGCAGGGAGGCTGACATAAGCGCCTACAGACATCACTGCGCTGGCCTGCTGCCTGTGCAAGACTGTCCCTGGGAGAAGCTGGGCTGATTTGCATGAGAAATCAAAAAGGAGGAAATAAGATGTGACAACCCCAAAAACTGCTCCCTAAAATACGAAGTTAAGGGAGATCAAATGGGATGACACTGAACCTCTACTGGCAGGAGAGGCAGATAAGAGCTCCGAAAAAGTCTCCGGGAAGGCTGGGGAATCTGGCAATTTTAGCTTAATATCAGGGTGCGAGATTTGGGTCTTGCCTGCAGCTCAGGTCCTGACTGTATACCCATGTCAACTAAAAAAACTCTGTAATGTTGGAGCCCAAGTCTGGAGCACCACATGGTAACAGCCAGAGCAGGGTCAGCAAAGACATCACAGAATCCTGGAAAGCCTCTGTCAGCGACACACAGTAACAATAGAGGCTGAGCAGAGTTTCCAGTTCTGTCTGGCCACTGAAAGCAGGGATGGCTCTTCCTCTTGGACTGAGCCTCAAAGTTCTTGGACAATTTGCAGTTTACTCACCTGAGATGAGTCATATACTTGTGGCAAATGAGAACAGGTGGAACCTTGGGGCATTAAAAGGAAAATCAGGATGAGACCCACTTGTACTTCAAGCTGGAGGATGGGTCACACTGCTACCTTCATAGATCAGTGTCAAGCCTGAGCAGACATTGCAAAGCTGGAAAGAACATGAAACTGCATCCAGTGGTTCCCAAATGCAGATCTAAAACACAGACTCCTCGTCACTGCCCTCCAGACCTCCTGAATACAAACTGCTGGGGGTACTTCAGAACCTTCTGTTGTTTTGAGATTCTAATAGGCAGCCAGTCCTGGGATCTATTGCTCCTATACAGCTATTCTTTTCTTTTTTGGAGACAGAGTTTACTCTATCACCCTGGGTAGAGTGCAGTGGCTCACAGCAACCTCAAACTCCTGGGCTCAAGTGATCCTCTTGCCTCAGCCTCCCAAGTAGCTAGGACTACAGGGATGTACCACAACACCTAGCTAATTTCTTTTCTATTTTTAATAGAGATAGGGTCTCAAACTCCTGAGCTCAAGCAATCCTCCCGCCTCAGCCTCCCAGAGTGCTAGGATTATAGGCATGAGCCACCGTGCCCGGCCTCCTGTACAGCTTTCTAATTTTAGGACTGATAAAACCTTTTCTAATGTTCCACAAGTTAGGGCAGAGCTGAGACTAAAATCCCTATCTTGTGATGACCAGGCCAGGGCAGAGTAGGCAAAGTTAGGGAGGGCAGTACTACCACTGAATCTCCCTCTTCAAGTTAGATACCCTCCTTCTCCTGTACAGGCAGCACAGAATGGTCTCCCAACACAAATAATATTCTTAAATGTTATGTTTCTCATCTTTAAGTAGAAATTCCATAAAGGGGGGGTGTCTTCTTTAGGTAATGAACAACACGAACACTATGTTTATTATGTGCTTATTACAAAAGGAAAAGTCCTTTGCTTTATTTTAGGGCTTCAGGGAAAAACCTAGTTAAAATACAAAAAGTAAATTAGAGAAAAATTCTGCTTAGGCAGTGAAACATCAATAGAATCTTACAAACTCTATCCTTAAAACTAATCCCAGGTATAGAACCAGGGAAAAAAAGAATGACAAGCCCAACTACTTGTAGTGAACAGGTCAGACCACTTAAGCAGCACATTTCTACCACTACACAAATACATAGGCAGGTCCAAACACAAACCCACCATTCAGTTGACAACCCTTTATTACACAACTATACAACTTAGGTAACAGTCCAAAATCAGTCAGTGTAGATGGGTGAAAAACTAGGCTAAAATAGCAAAAAGTGCTGTTTCATTTAGCAAAGGCTCACACAATATGTAGACAAACTCACTGGAAGGTGAGATTCCATTCATACCATGGCAAGGAAAGCAGCAGTCACTGTCCTAAATGAATGCCAGTCTGGGCACCTTCATTGAGGAATGCTGTTAACAACAAAGATAGGGACACCTCCTCCACCATCAGACCTGCCAGCTCATTCATAAAAATTTTCCAGGAACATTTCGGTGAAAAAGTAAGTCAAATATTAGTTCTCTCTTACAAGCAATAAAATCACAAAATCAGCTGAGATGTGAAATTTAGGGTAAGCTAGTATAATTTCCTGCTTTTAATGTGTAGATATTTTAGATTTGACAATCTTTTCCATATATAGTCAGACAGGCTTACAGAAGAATTTCAAATATCAAATACAAAAGCTGTTAATTCATGCACTTTATGACTTCAGTTAATTCTTCAAATTTAGACTTCAGAGCTGCTAATGACACTAAATTCAATGCCATGTTTGTTGAGTCGGTCAATCAACTTTGTTTTGGAGAAAGCTGCTCCAGGTGTGAAGACCCCACCCCTGTAAAACAATAACAAGAGAAAACAGTTCACACAGCTCCTCCTCTCCAGCCCTCTGCTCTGTAGCACTAGCTATCAAATCACTGCAGAACTCATGAAAACCTGAGTCTTGATACTATCATGGCTACTTTGGGTTCCATTCCTAAAATCAGCCAAATGAGCAAGTAGCTATTATTCAGGAGAAAGTAGTACCACAACCAATCCCATCTAGACTGGCTCAGCTCCTGGTGAGACTGTTTCCATGCTAACCGTGTGTTCAAGGAGCATACTGAGCATCATCAACCTGAGTAACTGCTCCTGTTTATGAAGACAGTCCTCAGACTCAGGAGGATTCAAAAAAGACCTGAATAGGATAAATTTAGGTAATCAATTATTATTAAAGTGTGAATAGGACTTAAACTGGATGAAAAGTTTTTTTAAATACAATAGCTGACATTTGTAAAATGTTAAATATTTCCAAAGGGTACATAAGTATTTGAAAAAATTTAATATGTTTTACTATATACAAATTTTATTTTTATTACTTAATATTGTTTTAGGTTATGCCTGATTTACTTGCCAGCTGCAGGCCTATCTTCATTTGTAAAGTTGGCCTAGTTTTAGGGTAACAGCTAAATGTTCCAATAAGAGAGTACGTTTGATGATCATACAGCCAGAATCCCATGATCCAATTCACACTTGGTGTCAGTCAGGGCTCCCACTGCCAGCTGGTATAGTTCAGCACTGATTAGCTGCTCCTGTTAATACTATTTAACAACAGGGACTTTTTTTGAGTGGCTGATTCTGGACTTGAGCTATTTTTATAAAGAATTGGAGCTAACTTAACATGGCTCCCAAACTTTTCTGTCTTCCCTCATTTACCTCCACAGTTGTTCCCAGAGGCTGGTAAGAAACTGTTCTCACAGTTTTAATTTACCTATATCTTTGGATCAAAGGAACTGAACTAGATACTTACACACAGACTCAAAACCTGAAAATCAAATCGAGATCAGCTAAAATGTAACACAGATAAAAAAGATGTCTTCTAATTAGAAGAAAACAAAACTTACGCTTTAGGAAGATCAGAGACATCATTTAGAAGTGTCATGGCTGCCTGAACCATAGCTATGGGTGTAGCTACATAGCCAGCCTCTGCAAAAAACAGTTGAGCAAGGAAAAAGTATTCATGAAGTATGCATTCAACAACACCCAAAAATCAGATGGTAGATTTCATATCTAACTCTAAACATACAGAATTTTTTCAATAGATACTCTGGTCACTTAATAACAAAAATAACAATATTTATACAGTACTTATTAAGTGTTAGGAACTGTACTAACTGCTTTAAATCTATTAAATTCAATTTTCTTAACAATTATTGAGGTTAGTACAATATTTTTATCCCCATTTTATTGATGAGAAAACTGAAGCATAGAAAGGTTAAGTGACTGACTTGTCCAAGCTCACAAAGTTAGGCAGTAGTTGAGCCAGAATCCCATCCAGGCAAGCTGTCTCCAGAGTGCATACTCTTACCCACTATACTGCACTGCTTCTTTTTTTAAATTTTTTAAATTT